CTAGAGGTCATCCAACGTAGATGAGATGGTGCTGGCCACCTTTGTCGAGAAGGGGCCGCTGCTACTGAAGGAGGAGGCACACTGGAGGGTGTTGAGCGTCGTCAACTTTGTCGTCGTCCACGAGGACTTCGTCGGAATGGAGCCGTACGGGGACTTCTTCCGGCGAACCTTCTTCGGGCGAGCCTTGTTGGTGGGGAAGCCGCCCAGGACTGCATCGGTAGGGGGTTACGCCCTTGCTGCTGCTCAGATTGGCTAGTTCATGAAGCTTGATGAGATGTCAGAGACATCCATCAGCCATGGCGGCCTTTCTTCGGTGGGGAGCGCCCCCCGTCCACGTGTCGTTGTCAGGGTTGCGGCTGATCACGATGGCGTAGTCCCTAGATGCCCTAGCAAAGGCACCACAGTCGCCGCGCGTGGTGCTTGTCGTTGCAGACGACGGCGCCCTCAAGGATCCCGCGGAGCGGTAGGACGTCGCCGATGGAGAGCGTGGCGCGGCGACCGTAGTAGTGGTTATAGTAGAACTGGTCAGAAACTGTAATCAAATAAGTTGTGAGGGAGCCCCCGTGTGAACAGTTTTTTGTATTTATGAATACATCAATCCTTTTCGTGATGAAATCACTTTGTAAGCTATAAATTTGTGCAAAAAATGAACAAGTGCCATCCGACCCTTCCCATAGTTAAGGTCACAAAAACCTTGGACTACGGGTGAATCAATTCTAATCACGCTGGTGAGCAAGGAGGTCGTAGCCGCTGGGGCGTGGGTTTCCCGCAGTCCTACCAGTTATACTCATATTTTGTTCCCGAAATTCTAGCCTTTAGGACTTACCATGAGAACAGAGGGAAAACACAGAGAATGTTTGCAAGATAACACAGAGAGTGTTTGTAAGATAAATGTACTTATATCAGCTCCCGAGTGAGGTCCGACCCCTCGCACTTTGCAGGGGTCGGATGTCACTAAAAATCGGGGATTTTTGAAGACAAAAGCTGATAAGAAAAGGTATGCATTTATTTAAGGGTAAAAACGACGTAGCTACTCAATGTTCTAGGCATTGGTGAAGACCTCACCGTCGATGGTTTTCAACTTGTAGGTGCCTGGCCGGAGTACTTCTGCGATGACGTATGGTCCCTCCTAGGGCGGGGAGAGCTTGTGACGATCCTTGTTGCTCTGCACGAGGCAGAGAACCAGGTCCCCGACGTTGAAGGCTCGGTCTCGCACCCGTCGGTTGTGGTACCGACGCAGCGCCTGCTGGTACTTGGTCGAACGGAGGAGGGCGATGTCGCGAGCTTCGTCTAGCTGGTCCATGGCATCTTCGTAGGATGCCTCGGCAACCTGTTCATTGTATGATCTAATTCTTGGCGCTCCATAGTCGAGGTCGGTTGGGAGGACAGCCTCAGAACCGTAGACCATGAAGAAAGGCGTGTAGCCGGTGGCCCGGTTAGGAGTTGTCCTCGGGCTCCAGAGCACCGCAGGGAGCTTGGTGACCCAGCGTGCGCTAAACTTGTTCAACCGGTTGAAGATCCTGGGCTTGAGGCCCTGTAGGAGCATGTCGTTTGCGCGCTCGACCTGCCTGTTCGTTCGGGGGTGCGCGACGGCGGCCCAATCGACCCGAATGTGTTGTTCATCGTAGAATCAAAGGAATTTCTTGCCGGTGAACTATGTGTCATTGTCTGTGATAATGGAGTTCGATACTCCAAAGCGATGGATGATGTCGAAGAAGAACAGCACGGCTTGCTCGGACTTGATCACGGAGATCGGCCGAGCTGTGATCCGTTTTGTGAACTTGTCTATGGTGATAAGCAAGCGGGTGTAGCCCCCGGGCGCCTTTTCAAGAGGCCCAACCAGATCGAGCCCCTAGACCACGAAGGGCCACGTGATGGGGATCATCTGGAGTGCCTGGGCTGGGAGGTGAGTTTGCCGAGCATAGTACTGGCACCATTCGCAGGTGCGTACGATCTGCTCGGTGTCGGCTACAGCAGTGGGCTAGTAGAAGCCTTGTCGGAATGCGTTCCCCACCAAGGTTCTAGGCGCGGCGTGGTGACCGCAGACCCCACTGTGGATATCACTCAGCAGAAGCTTCCCCTGTTCGACGGGGATACAGAGCTGCAAGATTCCGGTGTGGCTTCGTTTGTAGAGTTTGCCTTCTACAAGAACGAAGGACTTGGCGCGAGCCGTCGAGCTTCTGTCTTGTCCGTGGTACAGGGCGTAGCCGTACAGGGCGGGAGGTTGGGGAAAGGCCTGACAGGCGGGGCCCGCGAAGAGAGGGAGGGGATGACATGCTGTCCGTCCGCTCGCCGGAGTCCCGCGCCTCCGCCGCCTCCTCTGCTCCCTCTTCTTTCTCCTCCTCTCCTCTGCTCTGCCGCCATCGCCACGCCTCTGCTCCCCCTTTCTCCCCCAACTCTGCCCTGCCCTTTTCTCCCCTGCTGCTGCACGCGGACAACAGGGAAGGACGGAAGATGCTATCCGCCACGCCCTCGCCTTGCTCCGCCGTGCCGCAGCAAGCACCGCTGTCGCCCCTGCTCTATTTCCCCGCTCCGCTCTCGCTCTCTCATATGCCAAGCGCCACCGTGAAGAGAGGGAGGGGGATGACAGGTGGTCCCAACCTGGCGGTGAGAGGGAAAGGCCTGACGGGCGGGGGCGTGGCGGGTTTACTGTGTGAAATCCGCGGTCGAATAGACACGATGGTTAATTTTAACTGGTTTTAAGAGTTAAAGAACTACGCGTATCTAATTTTAAAATTAGAACACTAGAAAAAAACTGCAGCCATAATTGGTGGACTTTTTACTAAAACCAAAGGAGTCGAATAAGCACAGGGAAGCGGATAAGGGCTGGCAGCAGGAGCCGACGAGTGGTTGGAAGAGAAGGAGATACAGATGCTTGCGGGCGCCTTGAGCTCCATCACTCCGGCGATGTGGCAGCCGGGGACGATGGGGAGGACGTGCGTGGGGCCCGCGACAGGCACTGCCTTACCCGAGCGTATCTATGCTAGATCTCGCTTTGAATAAACAAACGTCATCCGTCGCATCATAACAGTGACAGCATGCGATTAACAGCATGCCCGACACCATTAGCTAGTATTCCATAACTGATGATCTATAGTATTCCATAAAAGTCCCTAGCTAGTATGCTTCGCCAATCTCTGCTCATGTTTTAGGCCTCGTTTAGATTGTAAGTTTTTTCATTTTTTTTCATCACATTAAATTTTTGATACATACATAGAGTATTAAATATAGATAAAAAAAATAACTAATTACATAGTTTGATTATAAATTATAAGACGAATCTTTTGAGCCTAATTAGGTTATAATTAGACAATAATTATCAAATATAAACGAAAATGTTACAGTATTAAATACTGATTTCTAACCTCAATCTAAACATGGCCTTATTTGCATGGCCAGCGTTTCCGGAATGAAGGGATGCTCACTGTCGTCAGTACAGACAAGCTGGACATGAGGTGCCGTACTAGACAAGGGTTCTTTGATTGATTGAAAATTGATTTTTTTAGACTTATTTTTCTCTTATGTATGACTTATATTTATTTGACTTGTTTTATCAAACAAATTAAATAAAACATCTTCTCATGTGGAGCTTATTAAAACCCGCTCTCACTGGAAACTGTTGGACCAAACATTTTTAAAACAGCTTTAGTTTCACCTGTGAAGCTATTTATACAGCTAAAGCAAAAAAAAAAAAACTACTCCACCATGAAGCAGAGGTGTACCAAACGAGACCTCAGGCTTATACTGTGTTTGAGATTAACTATAGCAAGAGCGGTGCTGCAGCGGCACCTATCCTCCTTGTTTGTGGTTGAGCTTACATGCCTGTTTGTTAATCCTGTTTGTTTACCGGCCAGTTTAAACTATAAGACAAAAATTGAAAGGTGAGCGTGCTTGTGTTGTGCACGCACGCGTGGCTGCCAACCACTCGCTGCTCCCAAGCCAGTTTAGTTCCCCGGATCCTAAAAATTGCATCTTTGTCCGCCACCGCGCCGGATGTGGCCACCGTCAGCTCTGCCTCCTGTCATGCGAGCGCGACAGTGCGCGGACGGCCTCGTCGCACCGTGGTCGTCGCCTCTTGCTTGGGCTCCCCGAACTCGTGCACAGTGACACTTCTCCCAGAATACTACACACTGGCTGACAGAGTAGTGACAGACACCCACACACGGACACGGTGGTCGTGGTCGACGAGCTAGCGCCGCACGCAACGAGCCGCCGCCGCTGCTGCTGCTGCGCGCGCGGTGTACGGTGTACGTAGGCGGCGTGCTGCTCCAGTCCACCCCGCTGCGCCACAGTTTTCCGGCAGCCGTCCCCGTCCGACGACGACCCGCAATCTTGCCGCGCGATCGGCTGCAAGAAGAAAAAACAGCTTGCTAGCGCTGCGCGCGACGGACAGACCAGTCGCTACACGCCACGGCCGAGATCGACACGTTCTCCGCCCCGGCCCCGGCCTTTGCGTCCGCGGACGAGCTGCCTGGCCTGGGCGCGTACGGTGCAAGCATGCGGCATGACGGCTGTTCGGGGTTGAATTCCGGCCGGAGGATGGCTATTCCGAGTTGAATTCCGCCGACGGCGACGGCCTATTCTGAGGAAGGACGGGGCCGGAAGCAAGCAATGCGGACCGGGGACGGGGAGCACGTCGAGTTATTAGATCAAATTCAGTTATGTATAAGATAAATATTAATTTCTGACGGAGCGAAGCGAGGCCCATCGTCGGGAGGCTTGGGCCGTTGCTTATTAGGGTTTTTCTATCTCTATATATACTTCATGTAAGTTGTCGTCTTGGGATAAGAAAAGTTGTAAATCTCCGACGTTTGTAACCTCACCCGATATAGTAAAGATTGCTGACTGGTGTCCGTGATTTTTTCTTCTTCTTTTTTGGGAGGGTTTTCCACATTAAAATCTCACGTCCCCTATGTTTGATTTGTTGTTCTTCGTCATTTATATTGCTTATCGTTTCTTACAAGTGGTATCAAAGCTTGGTTTCACGTTAGGGTTTCGCGATGGCATCGATGAAGTTTGATCTACCGCTGCTAGATTACAAGACGAGATTTACGCTGTGGCAAGTCAAGATGCGGGCAATTCTGGCACAATCTTCGGATCTTGATGAGGCGCTGGATGGTTTCAGAGGCAAAGGACAAAAGTCATGGACCGCTGAAGAGAAGCAAAATGATCGTAAGGCTCTGTCTCTGATTCAACTTTATCTACATAATGATATTTTGCAAGAAGTGCTGCAGGAGAAAACTACCGCAGAACTTTGGCTCAAGCTAGAATCGATCTGCATGTCCAAGGATCTAACCAGTAAGATACACATGAAGATGAAGTTGTTCACGCACAAGCTGCAAGAAGGTGGTTCGATGATGAACCACTTAACGATCTTTAAGGAGATCGTTGCCGACCTAGTGTCGATGGAGGTAAAATATGATGACGAAGATTTAGCTCTTCTACTGTTATGCTCACTGTCTAGTTTGTTTGTAAATTTCTGAGATACCATACTATTAAGCCGTGATGAACTAACCCTTGCGGAAGTATATGAGGCCCTCCAGTCGAGAGAGAAGATGAAATGTATGGTTCAGTCTAACGTGTCGTCCTCCAAGAGCGAAGTGTTACAGGTTAGAGGAAGGCCCGAGCAGAAAACCTACAACAACAACAATAATCGAGACAAGAGCAAGAACGGTAAATGCCATTCGAAGTCTAGAGACAAGGATAAGTTATGCAGGTATTGTAAGAAAGATACTCATGTCATTGATGATTGTTGGAAGCTGCAGAATAAGGAAAAAAGAAACGGTACGTATAAACCGAAAAACAAATCCGATGGTGATGGTAAGGCCTCTGTTGTCTCCACTGTTGATAGTTCTGATTCAGGAGACGTTCTTATTGGTCTTGTTGGTTGTGTTGCTGGTCGTAATGAATGGATACTTAATTCTGCATGCTCGTTTCATATATGCTCTAACAAAGATTGGTTCAGTTCTTACGAGTCTGCGTAGAGTGGAGATGTTGTGCGTATGTGAGATAACAACCCACGTGAGATCGCGGGCATTGGCTCCGTTCAGATCAAGATGCATGATGGCATGATACGCACACTGAAAAATGTGAGACACATATCAGGGATGGCCAGAAATCTTATCTCCCTCAACACACTTGATGTCGAGGGATACAAACACTCTGGTTCAGGTGGAGTGTGTAAGGTATCAAAAGGTTCTCTCATTCATATGATAGGTGATATGAATTCTACAAAGTTATATGTTCTTAGAGGAAGTACTTTACATGGTTCCGTCACTGCTGCTACTATTTCTAATGATGAACCAAGTAAGACTAATCTCTAGCATATGCGTCTTGGATATATGAGTGAACTTGGTATGGTAGAATTAATCAAGAGAGACCTGCTGGATGGCTACATTGTGAGTAAGATGAAGTTCTCTGAGCACTGTGTTTTTTGGTAAGCACAAGAGGGTAAAATTCAATGCATCTGTTCATATCACCAAAGGTATGCTTGATTATGTACATGTTGATTTGTGGGGGCCGTCTCGTAAGCCCCTCTTATGGTGGTGCTCATTACATGCTTACCATTATTGATGATTACTCTAGAAAAGTGTGGCCTTACTTTCTAAAAAATAAAGGTGATAATTTTGCTGCTTTTAAAGAGCGGAAATTTATGATAGAAAGGCAAATTGAAAATAAGATAAAATTGCTTCGTACTGATAATGGCGGTGAATTTTGTTCGGATGCTTTTAATGATTACTGTAGGAAAGAAGGCATTGTCAGGCATCACACCATCCCGTACACTCCTTAGCAAAATGGTGTGATTGAGCGCATGAACCAAACCATCATCTCGAGGGCTCGTTGCATGCTGTCCAATGCTCGTATGAGCAGACATTTTTGGGCTGAGGCTGCTAACACCGCCTGTTACTTGATTAACCGGTCACCTTCTATCGCACTTAATAAGAAAACTCTCATTGAGGTATGGTCTGATATGCCTGCTGATTATTCATAATTGAGAGTTTTCGGTTGCACTACTTATGCTCATGTTGATAATGAAAACCTAGAACCTAGAGCCACTAAGTGTCTGTTTCTTGGTTATGGTTCTGGAGTTAATGGATATAAGTTATGGAATCCTAAAACTAAAAAGACTTTCATGAGCAGGAGCGTTGTTTTTAATGAATCTGTTATGTTTAATGATAGCTTATCCACATATGTTTCTCCAGTAGGTTTTAATGAGGAGTAGCAACATGTTAGCGTGCAGGTAGAGCACGTAGATGATCAGAAAACTGAAATTATTGATAACAATGTTTATGATATTGTTCAGTACTCACCTCCTGTTTTGCAGCCTCAAAATCAGTCTATTGCAGATCGCAGAACAAAGAGGAATTGTGGACCTCGTCCACGTTTAATTGAGGAATGTGATATTGTTCATTATGCCTTTAGTTGTGCTGAACAGGTGGAGAACATTCATGAGCCGGCTACATACACTGAAGCTGTTGTTTCTAGTGACCACAAGAAGTGGATTTTCGCTATGCAAGAGGAGATGCAGTCACTCGAGAAAAATGACACATAGGATGTTGTGCGCTTGCCTAAACAAAAGAAGACCGTTCGTTGCAAATTGGTTTTCAAGAGAAATGAGGGTTTATCTCCCAGTGAAGCTCCAAGATTTAAGGCAAGGTTAGTAGCAAAAAGTTTCAGTTATATTCCTGGTGTTGATTATAATGATGTGTTCTCTTCGGTTGTAAAGCATAGTTCAATTCGTATATTTTTTAGTGTTATTGCTATGCGAGATCTTGAGCTTGAGTAGTTAGATGTAAAGACTGCGTTTCTACATGGAGAGCTTGAGGAAGAGATATGCATGGACCAGCCAGAAATGGTTCATAGTACCTGGTAAGGAGGATCATGTTTATAAATTAAAGAGGTCCTCGTATGGTTTGAAACAGTCTCCTCATCAATGGTATAAAAGGTTTGATTCTTTTATGATGTCACATGGTTTTAAGAGGTCTAAATTTGATAGCTGTGTGTACATTAAATTTGTTGATGGATCACCTATATACTTGTTGTTATATGTTGATGATACGTTGATTGCTGCCAAGAGCAAGAAAGAAATCACTACATTGAAGAAACTGTTGAGTAGTAAGTTTGAGATGAAAGATCTTGGTGCTGCTAAGAAAATTCTAGGTATGGAGATTACAAGAGACAGAAATTCTGGTTTGTTATTTCTTAGTCAGCAAACTTACATTAAAAAAGTTCTTCATCGTTTAAACATGCATGATGCAAAGTCTGTTAGTACTCCTATTGCTCCTTATTTTAAATTATCATAAATTATCATCTTTACAATGTGCTAGTACGGATAAAAATTTTGAGTACATGTCAAGAGTTCTATATTCTAGTGCTGTTGATTCTTTGATGTATGCCATAGTTTGCTCTCGTCCTGATTTATCATATGCTATGAGTTTGGTTAGTAGATACATGGCTAATTCTAATAAAGAACATTGGAAGGTTGTTTAGTGGATTTTCAGGTACCTTCGTGGCACAATAAATGCTTGTTTGAAGTTTGGTAAAACTGATAAGGGACTCATTGGCTACATGGATTCAGATTTTGCTGCCGATTTGGATAAGAGAAGATCTCTCACAGGTTATGTGTTCACTATTGGAGGTTGTGCTGTGAGTTAGAGGACAACATTGCAGCCCGTTATTGCCTTGTCTATCACTGAAGCAGAATACATGGCTGTTGCTGAAGCATGTAAAGAATCGGTTTGGTTGGAAGATTTGTTTGCTGAGCTTTGTAGAGACGATTCTTGCATTAATTTGTTTTGTGATAGTTAAAGTGCAATATGTCTCACTAAAGATCAGATGTTTCATGAGAGAACGAAGCACATTGATGTCAAATACCATTATGTTCGCGATGTTGTCGCGCAAGGTAAGTTGAATGTATACAAGATAAGCACACATGATAATCCTGCTGATATGTTGACAAAGCCAGTTCATGTTGCTAAATTTGAGCTTTGCTCAAGCTTAATTGATATAACTGTTTAGGCCAAGAGGTTATTTGGCATCGGAAGTATTTCTTAGTTGTTTTAGGGTGAAGGTTCGTTTTATGCTACAAGAAGGAATTTGTCTCAAGGTGGAGTTTGTTGAGCTGTGATCGTCTTGTGATAAGAAAAGTTGTAAATCCCCGATGTTTATAACCTCATCTGATATAGTGAAGATTTGCTGGCTAGAACCTATGATTTTCCCCTTCTTTCTTGGAGGGTTTTCCACGTTAAAATTACATATCCCCTGTGTTTGATCTACTATTCTTCATTATTTATATTGTGTATCGTTTCTAGCAGAGCAGCCTTCGCTGTGGCGGATGGGCACGCACTGTCACTGACATGACCAGGCGCGCACGATGGCGATGGATGGACGGATCTATCTGGAGGCGCGGCCACTGCGTTCAGATCTCGCTCTCCGGCCTGCCTGCCGTGCCCCGGAGGCTGGAGGCCGGAGGCGGAGGCAGCCTGGACCGGACCGGACGTACTACACCTTCATCTCTCGTTCTGTTCGTTTATTTACTTATAAATTATATTTTTTAAGTTAAAACATTATTTTTTTCTCATACCAAATTAATCAATAATACTTTCAGCCATGATTTATCAGACAAACCAGCCCTGACAAACAATGCGTCTGGCTCTTGAAAGCATCGATCGGTCCGTCCGTCCCGGCCGGGTCCAGCGGCTCCCAGGTCCCAGCAATGGTCCATACCATATGGACACGTAGCACATGGACGGCGATTATTCATCGCTGCAGTGCAGTGCAGTGCAGTGCCGAGTGCGTACGACTCCGACCGGCTTCTCCTCCATCGGTTGATCCATCATCCATCCAATCCAATCCAACAGTGAGTGATTGGGCATGCTCGAGGCGGACTCATGATGTGTGATTAATTTTTACTGTACTTAGCACTTACTGCAGCAGCGGCGAGATAGCTGCTACATTACTGCGACTAGTAACTGCGTGCTAGCGGAGTACGGAGTACTCCGTAGCTAGCTTGTGCATCGCTAATTTGCCATACCGCCCTGCACCGGTTGCTGTCGGCTGCCAGATGCATGGTTGGCGAATGGCGATCGATGCTGCAACCTGCAGCAGCTTCGTTCCCAGCCTCGGACTCGGCCGCCTGCCTGTGCAGCAGCGTGCGTGCAATGGGCCAACAACAACAATCACATCACATCGCTCTGAATCCGTTACTGCTGATGATGTTGCAAGAACATCGGTTGCTACATACTACAGTCTCTAGCTTACCGATCGATAGGCTCGATGCGGAGGAAGAAAGTTAAGAATGCGGCGCCGCACTTGACCAGCAAGTTTAGTAGAAAATGGAGACGCGGGCACAGTCCACAAGCAAGCTGCTGCTGCTGCTGCAAGCTGTATGGATCCATCGATGTATACAGCTCGAACGGACGAAATGACGAAGGTGTTTCAGTCTCCCACGCACTCTAGCAACTCTCATAGTCTCATCTCATCACTGTCTGCTGAATTGCTGATCATTCATTCCACCCCCACCATGGGTTACATACATACGTTGCTTTCAGTTGGACGATGGTGGTAAAGCCGATCGATTCACACTGCTGGGTGCTGTGGCTGCATCCACCGCCTGGTACATCCCTGTAGGCTGTAGCCAGGACAGCCGTCGTCGTCTGCTGGTTGCCGGGAGTTTCGGTAACTCGCTGGGCCACGACGGGCATGCAGGCAGACAGGCAGGCTTGTAAATGTGAAACTCTTATCGCGTAGCCTACGTACCTGGGCGCCTGCTGCTGATCGACCTGGAAACTCTTATCGCGTAGCCTACGTACCTGGGCGCCTGCTACTGATCGACCTGACCTCTTCGTGCCTGATTCAGACGTTGCTTATATTAATTAGGTAGCTCGATTGGAGCACGGTTAATTATAGTAGTAAAAAAAAATTATGGTAGTATTTAGCAACTTATTAGCATGCATGCATGGGCTGCCCGGCTGGCTCTGGGCGATGCCGACGACGGCGATGAGTAGAATGCGGTCTGGTTCCGTGCGTCCGACAGCGCCGGTGAGACGTCGCCTTTTCAGTGCAGCTAGCAACGATGAGTACATATACATAGCTCATGAGACCTAGCAGCGCAGGCCGGGACCACGTGCAAATATAGGACGGAGCGAGCGAGGGCGATGCATGGAACAAGATGATTATTAGCAGTGGTATCACTCTATTATTAAGACTTGGTATGGTACTAAGTCCTTATTATATATGATTACGCCTACCTGTCGTCGGTCCTACAACCGTGAATGCATCTGAATGTCGATCCTATTAAGGCATTTTTTGACAAGATCTATCCTATCCAACAAGGCATTGAACAGTAGTCTCCAGTATACAGCACTAAACCAGCAACCACCAATGCTCCTACACAGGCTTTATAAAATTAACCTACCTAAAAAAAGGCTTTATAAAATTAACATAAGTATTAGAAGTTCTGCATGAACTAGGGAAAAAACCTGCGCGTTGATGCGAGACTTTGAAGTGATTTAAGGCTAATGCTAGAAACATATATGTTTGGATCATTATTCCAATTACATAGAATGATTAATACTTAAAGGGATAGGATTAAAGCGATTCTTAAATAAAAAGAAGGGTGTCATCTACAGGTTGCTCTCCAACCCATGGTTTGTAATCTTAGTTATGAATAAAAGCATTTTCAAACATAAACATATATAGACTTGGACATGAATATATACACACACCGTAAAAACAAACATAACTGGGGATTAGTTTGATCAATATTGTAATGTTGGACAGTGAAACAGCTTCCTCCTCCTCCTCCTCCTCCTCCTCCAACTAAAGGAAGTAGCGCTAATCTGTGTGTATAAGACAATAGGACATGCAGGTACGAAATGCATTACCAGTACTACTTTCTTGTGCCATTGTTGCAGTATTGAAATCAAAGATCCCCATAATGCATGACTACCAAAATGTGTCAGTGCATGCTGGACATTGCTTCTGTAAACAAAATGTGGATCACAACGGGTTAATGAGCAGCCTATGGGTTAACAAAGCAAAGTTGAACACAACAAAGAGTAAACTGGGTAATTGCAGACAGCCAACCAAGCAACAGCATGCAGCGGTCACCTCTGCTGACCCCACACCTTTAGCACGGGCAATAGAACAACAGTCACTAGTAAAAAAAACTATTTCTACTGGTGGTATAATTTGATTTCTATCGGCGCTAGTTTTTTACCGCCAGTGTGAAAGTCTAATGAAAATAAGATATTTCCATTGGTGGTGACCGTACAGCCATTAGAAACAAATTTTCAATCACCTGACTTGAACCCCTCAGCCACGCCTTGCGCATACCACGCCACGCTTCTTTTTTTCTTGTACAAATCCGAAGTTGTGCATAGGATTTGAACTCAAGACCTCAGCTCTTGCGCAACCTTTCCTTACCATCCCTCTACACACGTGAAAGTGAATGCAATACTAGAATCACTCATTTTGACCTATTCGTGCAGGCTATCTCCAGTGGTGGTTTTCTTAAACATAAATCATTCTCAGTGACGGTTGACTTAAGTA